GCTCCACCTTGTAGCACAGATCAGTTTATAAACAAATTTCCTGTCATTTGTTTGTTTGTTTCAAAGCATTCAGCAGAAGATGACTGGGCCCACACTATGAGTCATAGTATGACAGAAGTCGGCTAGCCATTCTCACTGCTCTCCTAATAGGATTGCTAGCGTTCTGTAAACTTTCTTTAATAACATAACCACATCAGTCTTTAATCTTACTTAGTCGCTCCTCTTCTACCTTGGGGTGTAAACGATTTGCCAGAGAGATCGCCAGACTTCTCTGTCAACAGTTTTATTTCCTGGCTTTGTTTTATTTTAGTCCTCTGTCAGTCAGAGACTGTCAGATGTTGTCTTCCCAGCAAACATTGGGTTGTCCTAGAGGTGTGGTTCTCTGGTTCTTAGCATCCCATGCCTGCCATGGTGGCAGATTTTCTCCCATTCTGCATACATGTCTCAAACATCATTTTTAGTATGTTTGCTAACTGTATTGTCCCGGGGATAAAAAGGTACCAAATGTAAGAGACCAATGCATGATAGTGTAGGCAGAAATGAGCTGGCCATGCATGATAGTGTAGGCAGGAATGAGCTGGCCATGCATGATAGTGTAGGCAGAAATGAGCTGGCCATCCATGATAGTGTAGGCAGGAATGAGCTGGCCATGCATGATGGTGTAGGCAGGAATGAGCTGGCCATCCATGATAGTGTAGGCAGAAATGAGCTGGCCATCCATGATAGTGTAGGCAGGAATCAGCTGGCCATCCATGATAGTGTAGGCAGGAATGAGCTGGCCATGCATGATGGTGTAGGCAGGAATGAGCTGGCCATCCATGATAGTGTAGGCAGGAATGAGCTGGCCATCCATGATAGTGTAGGCAGGAATCAGCTGGCCATCCATGATAGTGTAGGCAGGAATCAGCTGGCCATGCATGATGGTGTAGGCAGGAATGAGCTGGCCATAATTTTCAGCAAACTTTGACTGTCTTGCAAGATTGTCTAGACTTTACCTGCAAGAGAGAAAAATCTGGCAAGGCAAACTGTGGGATACAAATTAGCTTCTCAAATGCATTGTTCTGTTTATGAACTGTGCTGGAATAGATTGGTCAAGTAACGTAAAGGGCCCTTTTCCACACCTTCAGGCATAAGTGATAGACTTATTTTCTTATAGAGCAATCAGCACTCGGTGGGTAATGATGTCAACTTCATGCCAGCCTCCTTTACTTTCCAGGACTTCACCTGATACCCAAAAAGGCTGGGTCGACCTGAGAGCTGAGGTCGTCTAAAAAATGTCTGGCTATAATGGATTTGAACCCGCTGCATTCATTTCCACAGGCGAGTTTTCTGGCCATTGCATCACAGCGGCTCCCTGTAAATGCATAGCTTTTCAAGAACAAGTCCCTACAGGCATGGGAGTGTATCAGCATTTACGGGACTGTATTACAACCGGAAGTGACTAAATTTAGTCTACTGTGGGCAACAGGGTTACATTTGCAACTACATGTTTCTGGAGCGTGGTTGAACAGTGACTGACACAACTGCCTGCTGTGTAGTCATGGTTTCCAGTACCCATTGAGCTGGATTTTAACAGTTTACCTTGGCTCACAGGGGGACAGACTAAAATGGGCGCCAGGAAATATTCCTGGAAAACAGGAAGTTGATGCATTGAATGTTGAATTAAGAATTAACATCACAGCACTCGAGGCACTCATATAAGTACTCCATTCCCATCTTCAGCAGCAGGCGAAGAGTTTAGTTCCGATGGTACCATTAACTGTCTGATTGTATATGTCTCGCCTTTTCCTTGAGTGTTGAGGGTCAGCCAAATTCCCTGGTAACTCCTTGCAGCACCATTCTTTTCAGACCATGATGATCCATCCATGATTCCTCACTGTTCACTCGCTCCCAAAGGGCCCTCACAGCGTCTAATTTGTCATACATCAGTTCACCACCAAATGGTAAAGTGTCAGCCAGTCTGTCTGCTTGCTCATTTCCCAACACACATGACATGGAGAAAATATCCAAAGGAAGCTAACTATCCGAAACTTCTGAAGCGATGCTTGCCATTCTGCACGGAGCATGAGTTAATGCAATATTGACCTTATCATCAGTTGAGTGCCAGTTGGTCGGTAAAATACGAAGGTCATTGAGAATGATTTGCTGGCATCTTAAATTGTTATTATAAAAGAAGTATTTAGTGAATGGGCTCATGTGGAATCTCAAAATGTTTAGATGAGTGTAAAGTTTTAGCCTTACTTTAGTACACTAAGAGAAGGGCGTCATTTGTAGCTCTGGTGATGTCTAGACAGTATTCAAACCCCTGCCATGTCTTCTGAATCGCATCCAGAGTTACTGGTCATTGGTGACCGGGTCGCCCATTGGTTCGCCGGTAGACGACTTCGCTGCTGGTCGGGACAGTATCTAGGTCTATCTCCTTTGATCACATCAACACTGTAGGAGTACTTTTCAGGGCTCCTGGTGGCGTTCAGTGATAAGCCGTTTTATGTGGCGCACATAACCTAATCACAGTTATAACCTAAAGCTCCCCCTTTTGGGGATGCTGGTTAAACATGTCCCCCCCCCCCCCCCCCCCCCCCCCCCCCCCCCCCCCCCCCCCCCCCCCCCCCCCCCCCCAGCAAAGCTCCTGCCAAGCAAAGTGCACCTATCTTCTCAGTGCCTAGAAACTTACACGGGTCACATGCATTTTATGCAAAACGCACATTTGCTTGATAAATATTCTTCGCAAATTTATCTTCTCAGTTTGAAATTCCTGTCATGAAGCCTTGCACCCTATGGTCACTAAAAAATCATTACACTATATTTATTTAAACAAAACAATAACAAATCAAATATAAATAAGCAAAATATGCATAAAAAATCCTAAAATTTTTTTTAAAATAAACATGAAAGTTACAAATAAAATAACAGTTTAAATTACTCTTCAAAATCCAACACAATAGCAAGATCAGTTAAATAGGAAAAATTAAATTATTACCCAACACAATAGTGTAAAATAAATAAGAAAAATGCACCCTATGACTAGTGCAAAGGAATACAAAAATTATCAATTCAAAACCAAATATATACATGTAACATAAACATATAAATCACATACTGTTATAAAACATATATAGGCCATACAACACATATAGTTTTATTTAGTTATGCTCCATTGATTGAAGATGAACATGGATACAGAACAAAATCACTTTAAAGCAGATGAATGTCGCTATCAATAATTAAGAGTAGGCAAAAATAATTAAGAGGAGCAAAGCCATCGAACTTACTCGATAGCAACATGAACAATCACGCCAGCCCTACAATTTGAACGGCAAAACTTTTCAGCTAAACATACAAACTAATATATGTTACAAGCACATTGGGTTCACAATTAACACGGCCTACTCGTTCAATTCCCAAGGACAATGCTCCCATTTATCTGTCCCTATGGGTGACCTTTCCGTGGCTAGCCAAGCTTTTAACACACAACGCACACAGAGCACACACGACAATCTGTATAAGTTATCAATATAAGTTGGCTGTGTTACCTATTGCCTGGACCCTCTGGCCGAACGAGCTTTACAATCGCCTCGCTCCCCAGTACGTTCCACAGGCAATCTCCTGGTGCACAAACCACACTGGCACAAGATACGCTCTTACCTATCGACACACTGACCAACCAAACTGTCACAGCCTCGTGCAGGGTCAGAGTGCCAAGGTTAGACATTCTCTCACAGAAGAAACGATTTACCTGGTCAGAAGTAACTGGACACTATTTACTTATGGTGGCACAACACAATACCTTGTACCAGTTAAATACACGCAAAGATCTTTCACTATGCAGTCACTTATTCTATTAATGCTATCACTGTGCTACACGTCTGTGATTGTATAACCTGTTTCTTTCTCTTTGAATTCACCAGAAGGGGTAATCGTTTGCGAAAAGGTTTCAGTTCATTTTGTCCAAGCGGTTTCTAGCGCTAGTTTCAAGTGCAAACAAAAAACTACCATAAATGCCCTGACCTTTCACAGACCTGAACACGACCCTGGTGTGGTCCATTCACTCCTGTAAACAGATTCAGTGGGATAATCTGGAAGAAAGCGTCATCTCTATTTGACACAGTTGTATATTATCAATAAAGGGTGTTATGATCAGGACAGAAGAAACATTGATGAGTCTTTTGTCCCGTAAAGATCTCATAAATTTATTAATGCTGTGGTAGCTATATGAATGAAAGGGAAAAGGGTCAATCAGTATTTTAGCAACAAAAAAATAGCACCTTTCAAAACACCATGGATGAACTGTTAAAATTAAAACTCACACAAGAGCAGCAGAAGAAATTGTGAGTCTTGGTCATTCAAAATATAGCAGCATATGGAACACAAGTAAGCCACAAAAATTAAACTGTGTTAACAAACAATTCCAACATAGCCATATGGCAAAAATCCACAAATGAACAAAATCCTTCAAATGCTATTTTTTAAAGAGTAAATATACTTTACACAATATACAGCCACAAAGGAATTATATAGGCTAAGCTGTGATGCCTAAAGTTAAAATGCTAAGAAAATCCTAGAAATCCTGTGTACTTTCATATTCAAGTAGTCATTTATATCTTGTGCCCATCTTCTTGTTGGTTGGCTCTTGCTCCTCCATCCTGTTACCATGCCTTCTGCAATTATTTTTTTTTCCAATTTGCCGTGGCATTTGATATGATCAGATCTTTTAAAATGTCAGTATTTCTTCTCTTCTTTGCCTGTGGTATTTTGAGAATCATATTAAAAACATTTCAGCTCAGAAGCTCCTCTTATCACACGTCGTGCGTTTGGGACAGAAGGAGTTGAGGGCAAACACAGAAGATTTATTTAACCTAAAATATTCACTTTTATTTACCTATAATTATTAATACATGTCACTTACTTTCTAATAGACACATTTAATTGTATAAGAATATTTAAAATCTCATTATTTCTTGATTGAATTTAAGCTTAAAAATAATCCTTTCAGATTGGAAATGGAGAAACAGTCTAAAGGCGTCGAGTGCTGGACTTGTGCAGATGTTGGAGCCTGGCTAAAGGAAATTGGGTTTGATAAGTACACAGAACTGTTCTCATCAGTACACAAGATTGATGGCAAAGTCCTCTTAAGTCTGACAGAGACAGATTTGAGGCATCCACCACTTCAGCTCAAGGTCCTAGGTGATATCAAACGCTTATCGCAACATATTCAGCAACTCCAGTCTTATTCTGCGATAGAACATTCAGCAGGTGTGTATTTAGAAGGCAAAGGCAAGGATAGAAGAATATATACTACCTCAAGTATAGTTCGGCACAGGGCATCCCTGAAAGAGGAAAATGGCCCGTTTGATGATGTTGATGGAGTTCTTCACAATAAAGTACACCATATGACGTCTTCGGATGCAGACTCATCCGCAGATATACCTCCAGAAATATGGAAGACAGTGCTGAGTTTTGTCTATGTGTTTGCTGTCTTCATGCTGACAGCATTTGTGATGGTGGTGGTGCATGACAGAGTGCCTGAGATGGATAAATATCCACCTTTACCGGATTTGTTTCTGGACAATATGCCGTATGTGCCCTGGGCTTTTGAAGCTTGTGAAATTGTTGGTCTGCTGTTGGCAGCTATGTGGTTTTCTGTTTTGCTTTTTCACAAACACAGGTAAGTTACTCTGGTAAAGATAAGATCTTGTAGTAAGGTAAGATAGTAGTTGTCAGCTTTTGTGGCTTAACTCTTTTTGCGTCCCAAGGAATGCATTATACATTCATAGGTTCTTACCTAGAAGCCCAATCAACACATGTTGTGCCAATTTTATGTCTCTCATGACTACCCCTTGTTCTTGTGATGCTAAACCCCCTGGGACTCAGAAAGTTAAGGGTTTTCTTCTTCTTCATTTTACCGCCTGTAAACTCCAGTGGAAAGTTCTGATTGTTTGTCCACATCTGGACTTTGTCTTGTTCCAGAAACTGAGTGTTGCATGCACATACATTTTACATATCTGACTTTTTTTATATGCAGACTGTTGGTTCCTTGCTTTTCAGGCAAATGTACTCTGACCTCCACTCTGACTTTGAAGGAAGTTCCCAATTAGTCGACATTTACAACATGCTTTTTGTGGAGGCGGTGGGTCGATTCTTGTTTCCCTCACAAAAAGACCCCGGAACCCACACGGGGACTTAAGGGTTATGAATGCAGTTTCATAAATGTGACACACCCAGTTTGATTCAGCTACAAGTGATTTGCCAGCGGACTGCTTTGCATTGATTTTGATAGGGTTATGAGGTTGACCATTTAGAAGCAGTGGAAAAAAACAACCGAACATAAAATTGCCATGTAAAACCACAAACAGCAGACACCTGCTGGGAAAAAGAAGAAGATAAATTTGTTTGGACATTAAGGCTATTGGAAAAGGAAGGGGAAGGGGGAGGATGGGGGATTAGAAGCCTCTTAATCTGCATGTTTCAGTGAAGTGTTTATGCTAGGGCTATTCAACTGGTGGTCCGTAGAGGCCTGGCAAGTGGATCAGAACCAGCTTCTTGTTTTAATAATCATTCTATGCTGGGGCACAGGTAACTGGTGATCCCTGTTTTCAAAATGGTGGTCCCTGTGTAAACTTAGTTAAACAGTCCTAGTTTATGCTAACTTCGCATCCAACACAGAAGAGGTTAGATAAAGGGAGTTAAGCTGTAGTAATGTGAGTTCATATTGGTAGTTCAATTGTTTTATTTCTGTCAACAGATTTGTATTAATGCGTCGCATGTTCTCTCTGATGGGAACTATTTTTCTTCTGCGTTGTGTTACTATGCTTATAACCTCACTATCAGTGCCTGGAAAACATTTACAATGCAGTGGAAAGGTAAGTATGACATATTGCTCATGTTTTAATTTCAGTAAAATACTCGATATAATAATATCTACATGTGGCACGGTGATTCTAGTCACAGGCATGAGGGAAAGTTCTGGTGTGTATAAGGAGATACTCCGTATGTCACCCTGGGCACCAGTCGGCTCTGGGTTGGTTTTACGGAAACCTTGTGCAAGACTCTGGCCACACTTCCTAGTCAGGCCGCCATAAATAATGTCTTGTGTGAGCATTAAGAGAGCTGGCAGGGGATCTCGGAGTTGGTAGCCCCCTCAGATGCAGCGCCCAGAAATCCACTGGCTGTCATCAGCCCACCCCCAGGGCATGGGTGATAACCTATATCAAAACTCATTTGGAACATTAGTAATGCCTGCTGGCCAAACACACAACAGAATGACAACACTCGGTTAAAACGTCCGTCGAGTGAAAGAACCACTGAGCTGCTGAGACTCTGCCCTAGACCTAGAGGTTTGCTCACAGCTTAGACGAGCAAGATGTGTGGGTGGTATCCGAGCACATACATCCTTGTCAATCAACAATGTTGTCACCACCACACTGAGGTAAATGTAAATATGCCACAGTGCGCCACCTGTCTTATTCTTAGTCGAGGTTTCAACATCACTGCAATCGGGTTTCCCCATACTTGCTCCGTTCCTGTGCAGATCAAATGAAATGTCCCTCATGACAAATTTAAAAAAAAAAACCCAGTGGACAAACTAGTCTCAGAACAATCCAGACATAAATATACAGTGAATACACAGTGAATGTGTATTTTGGGTGCTGGAGGCGCCAACAGTCGTCACCAGAAATGCAGTTTGTCATTGATGGAAGTAGTCGGTCTTGATAAGTTGGTTACTATACACACGTATAATTATTACATACGGTATTTCTCCAGCTCACACGTAAACTAGCTACCGGCCATATTGAATACCATGACACAACCGCTGCACAAATGAAAGGCATTCAACAAGAAAAACACAGCTCACAGTGCAGCAACCAAACACTAAACTCAGTAGCTCAGGCAGTGAAACTGTAGACTACCGTCCTTATGTGGAAACTACATTAGCAAAAATAACTTCAAACCTAAACATTCTACCAAGCCTTTTCTTCATTTTGGTGGAAAGTCAAAGCCACCTGATAAAAGTATCAAATGTCCGTCAGACACATGTCCTATGTATAGCAAAACAGCAACGTTTCAAATGTCACACCAAAAAAAAAAAAAAAAAAATTCTGCTAATTGGCAGAAAGGTTCATATGTCCGCTGTCATTAGCCCCACTTGCCAGAGTGTCAGGACCGAACAGAGGAAGTCATGCCTGATGCATGCTTTATTAGCAGTGTTATGACAAGTGTCCAGATAAAGCAGTGTTAAAGGTATCTGATGTGTGATAGAAGAATGAACCTATTTGTGTGGTCACTTAAGTCCCTAACCTGCGTGCTGCTGCTAGCTGATCTCTCAGTGCACAGCCCATGGAAAGCCTAACATACGGATGTGAGGTTCAGCAGTCATGTGCAGGACATGCCAATTCCTTGGGTGAGCCAAGGACCAGAGCATCGTGTGTCAAATCTGCACTTATGGAAGCCTCCTTAGATGGCGGGAAAATGCCTAAGATCTGCCTCTTGTCTTCCCTTGAGGACGGATGACCAATCTAAACACAGTTGCCCTGGACAGGTTCTCCAGGGGCACCTCCTGTTGATAAAGGGACAAAGAAAACACACAAATAAGGCCATGACATGTCCCTGTCCCACAAAATTATCCGGGAAGTAAATCTGGCTTACAAAGATGCAGACTGTTGGTTTCCTTGTCTCTTAGGTAGATGCACTCCACCCTTGCTTGTTAGGAGGCTTTATCATGGTACGGGGCATCGCAGGTCGACCCAGCCTAAAATGGGTACCACAATGGCTGTCCTGGGGAAATAAAGGCAGCGGGCGTAATGCTGACCACATTACCCACCTAGTGCTTATTGGTCTGTAAAAATATGGGGTGCTCTTCCCATATGCCCGATGCGCCTAAGGCGTAAAAAGTGATCTTTCCAATTCCAATTCCAGTTGTCCAACAAAAATTCCAAACTTGATCATTTTTCAGCTGCCTGGAGGCCTGCTATTTGAAAGAAGTTTCCTTGGCTGTCTTATTTGGTTTCCTTTTATTTGTGGTGTGTAGTCACATCTGATATTCCGGTTCTTTGCTTCCTTGGTGCAGTGAGGTGCTTGTGTTTTTTGGGTCTGGTGTGGTCCAGTTCTCTTAGTGCTGATATCTATGGGTTTTAGTTGATTGTTGCTGATGCTTGGTTTACCTCGTGCTGATCGCTGCGCTGGTGTCCTATTGCTGCTTGGTTGCCGTTCTGTGAAGCCGCCGGGAAAAGCCAAACAAACACCAGGTCACAATGTCTCAAAAAATGTTCCCTTTCAGGACAACCAGGGCCGTCACAATCTGTTGTTGTGATCAGCCCGTTTTTTTTTCTCCACGGAGTGTGGAGAAGTAGTGGAAGTAAGATAGACTGCAAATGAGAGGGATAATTTGCTCAATGTGCCAGTAGGTGTGATAGTTAAGTCAGGAGAATGAAAGCAACAGATAGATGGAGAGATGTGGCTTCTTGATGTTGGAACTTCTGGTGGGTTGAGATCCCGGGGTCTGAAATAATACTGAAGGCATTGTTAACATTCATGTGGTTTGGGGGTGGGGTGGCGTAAGAGAGTCTGGAATCTCCCGAGTGCTGGTCCCCTTTGGTGCAATGTCTTCAGCAGTCTGCTTCAGAGCGTCGGGTGGCCTTTGGTGTTTTCCGTTGTCGTCTTCTGCCCGAGAATATGCTAATTTAAGATTTTGTAATCACTCAGGCATTCACGTTGGTCTTCGTCTTTAGGGCAGGGTCTGGAGTAAGACTGAAAGGCATTGTTTTAAATACATGTGGTTCCCAGTGTGGGTTCCGGGGCCCTATTGTGGGGAAAACAAGAATAGACCCACTGCCTGCCCAAAAGCATGTCGTAAGAGTCGACTAATTGGGGAGCTTCCTTTGAAGTTGGAGTGCATCTGCCGGAGAGGCAAGGAACCAACAGTCTGTATTCAAGAAAATGAGATCTGTAAAACTGATGCACACGCAACACTCAGGTTCTGGAGCAGGACTGCAGTTCAGTAGTGGACTAGCAACCAGAACCTTCCGCCAGAGTTTACAGCTGGTGAACGTGAAGAAGAAGAAGAAGAAATACATGTGGTGTGGGCAAGTGATCTTTACTTTATTTTTTGTTGTTGTTAGGGGTCAGTGGGTCTGTTCTGTTTTGCACTCACAAGTGGGCCCTGGATCCCACACCGGGTGTTTTACAGTTGAACTAGCTAGCACTGTGACTTGTTGGACCAATAGTTAAAAGTTCAAATCATCATCAGGATGGCTTTTTAGAAAATGGACCTGAACTTCCATGTTTACTTAGCCTAAGAATAAAATTTGGTATCAGGAAATGTTATGGGAAGTAAAGGTGATGGAAGTGATATTAAGTATCACCTATTGAATGCTGATTAGGCTGTAGAAATATGCAGCTAGCACATTATGCCCATAGGCAGAATGTATAATGTTGAATTTAGAATATGGAATATTCCCATAAGCGCTGTGTCCTCATCTTCAGCAGCAAGTGCAGAGTTCCAATTCTGTTAGTGCCAATGACAGTCTGATAGTACATCCTTCTGATAGTACATCCCGGAGCAAAGATGGGGCAACCCGTTTTCTATGAAGCTGAAACTAAGGCTACCAGACATCCTTCTTGCTCTTCCCTTGAGTGTTGAGCGTCGGCCAGATCCCTTGGTCAGTCCTCACAGCACCATTCTCCTCAGGCCGCAATGATCTTTTTGTGTGTCCACTGAGTCCCAGAGGGCCCTGACAGCCTCTAGCTTGTCATACATAAATTCACCAAGTGGTGCAAAACCAGCCAGTCTATCTGCCTGTTCATTTTCCAAGACACCGGCATCACCTGTAGAAAATATCCAAAGGTTGCTAACTGCTGGGGACTTCAGAAGTGCTGTTTGCCACTCTCTTTGGCACATGGCTGTCTCCATTTTTCTCAGCATGCTCTGTGAGTTAGTTACGGTTATGACATGTGTCAACAGCTGGGTTTGAAATCAGTGGAATGCTGCTGTATAACTCTAGGCATTGAAAGACTTTTACTTTGTAAAGTGCTCTGATGGTTATCCATTAGTGTTTTTCATTGATAAACATAATCCAGCATCCTATTTGATTATATCAGGATGTTCCCTGTGTGGGAGGAAAGAGAATAGAATTAAGAGCTTGCTGAGTTTTATTGTGTTGGGCCAAAAGACAGCACAGATATCCTAACCTAGCTGTAAACCACAATACAACATGCTAACTGTGTTTTCTAGGATGTACACAGAGTGAGAAGATGTAACAATGTGATATGTTAAATCAAATAATATATATGTGTACAATTTTCAGCGTTACGCTGATTGGTACAGCCGGGAGAAGATGTAACAATGTGAGGTGTTAAATCGTATAATATATGTGTGTACAATTTTCAGCGTTACGCTGATTGGTACAGCCAGGAGAAGATGAAACAATGTGATATGTTAAATCGTATAATATATATGTGTACAATTTTCAGCGTTATGCTGATTGGTACAGCCGGAAGAAGATGTAACAATGTGAGGTGTTAAATCGTATAATATATGTGTGTACAATTTTCAGCGTTACGCTGATTGGTACAGCCAGGAGAAGATGAAACAATGTGATATGTTAAATAGTATAATATATATGTGTACAATTTTCAGCGTTACGCTGATTGGTACAGCCGGTTCTATCGCACCTTTGAGATCTGGAAAGGAATGGGAATGTCATTACAGGGAGTTCGCTCATGTGGAGATTACATGTTCAGTGGGCACACGTCCATCATCACTCTTCTCAATTTCTTCATTACTGAATGTGAGTACAGTTGATTTGATGGTCACATGGTTACATATGTGTGAGTAGGGATTGCTGTGTTGGATGAGTCAAGTTGATTTGATGGTCACATGGTTACATATGTGTGAGTAGGGATTGCTGTGTGTTGGATGAGTCAAGTTGATTTGATGGTCACATGGTTACATCTGTGTGAGTAGGGATTGCTGTGTGTTGGATGAGTCAAGTTGATTTGATGGTCACATGACATCTGTGTGAGTAGGGATTGCAAGTAAAGTTGATTTGATGGTCACATGGTTACATCTGTGTGAGTAGGGATTGCTGTGTGTTGGATGAGTCAAGTTGATTTGATGGTCACATGGTTACATATGTGTGAGTAGGGATTGCTGTGTGTTGGATGAGTAAAGTTGATTTGATGGTCACATGGTTACATCTGTGTGAGTAGGGATTGCTGTGTGTTGGATGAGTCAAGTTGATTTGATGGTCACATGGTTACATATGTGTGAGTAGGGATTGCTGTGTGTTGGATGAGTCAAGTTGATTTGATGGTCACATGGTTACATATGTGTGAGTAGGGATTGCTGTGTGTTGGATAAGTAAAGTTGATTTGATGGTCACATGGTTACATCTGTGTGAGTAGGGATTGCTGTGTTGGATTAAAGTTGATTTGATGGTCACATGGTTACATCTGTGTGAGTAGGGATTGCTGTGTGTTGGATAAGTAAAGTTGATTTGATGGTCACATGGTTACATCTGTGTGAGTAGGGATTGCTGTGTGTTGAATGAGTAAAGTTGATTTGATGGTCACATGGTTACATATGTGTGAGTAGGGATTGCTGTGTGTTGGATAAGTAAAGTTGATTTGATGGTCACATGGTTACATATGTGTGAGTAGGGATTGCTGTGTGTTGGATAAGTAAAGTTGATTTGATGGTCACATGGTTACATCTGTGTGAGTAGGGATTGCTGTGTGTTGAATGAGTAAAGTTGATCCTTTTTAACCCATCTGTGGGCTATAGTTGGGATATGTATATCTTCAGTTTCTGTATTTTTCCATTTCAGTATTGGATATTTATGCTTGTCAGTTACTTTTGGTTTTTTAATATTACATATATTATGTGTTAATTGCAAAAGATTGTAGGAGTAATAGTTAAGTTTAATATATTTTAAATGTGCTTTTTATATAATTATGATAACCAGGTTGTATAATTTACCTGGAACAAAAATAATTTTCCTATTGATTGGACTGTTTCCATAATGATAGGTAGTTAGCCCACCAGGCTTGTTAACCCTTGCATTTCCCCAAATACCACATATTTTTCACATGTTTTATGTGTGTGTATGTGAAAATAATCTCGGATGAAAGCTCCTCCTAACTGTGAAATAAAATTGTACAAATTCATTGGCTGTTTGCTGATTCAGAATGACTGAACTGTCAAGTCAGTTAAGTTGAGCCAAGAATTGACATCACAGTAGACGGGGCATTCCAATGCCCGCTCCGTCCTCAGCTTCAGCAGCCAGCACAAAGTTCCAGTACTAATGGTACCGGTTGTAATCTGGTTATATGTCAGTCTTGCCTTTCCTCTGAGTGTAGTGAGCCGGCCAGACCCTCTAATTACACACATGTGCGTGATTCTCTCTAGACCATTATAATCTTGTTTCTTTTCTGACTTCGTTACATGTTCTTACAGGGCCTTAACCACATCAGCCTTGTCTGTCAAACTAAAAAAGCCACAATCTTTTCCCAAAATGCGCATAGTGGAAAACACATCCAGGTAGGCGTCGAGGATTGCAATTTTAAATGATTTTTGCTAAACTGTAATCGACAAAGATGTAATGTACACAATCAACATTAATAGACACATCTAACAAACACACATACATAAAACAGTTTACCCGATTTAACGTAAAATAACAAACCTACCTCTGATTGCCACGCTACTGCTAAGCAAAACATAATTTTTTTTTTTGGGGGCAGTTTGTAAGAATTTTCAAAGTCACAGAAATATTTTCACTTTCACATTAAAAAAAATCCAGACATTATCCCATAACATCAGGAATATCCCTCAAACTCTTCTACCATGCCGGCCCTAATGATCAACCGCCATTATCGAAACATTTGTTTATTTGCTGTCGACAAGGGAGCTTATTAAATAAAATTCATAGAAAATTTACATTTAGCACTACCAAACTTTAAAGAACAAAAGAGAAATGAGCGGACATGGTTTTATTTACATTTATTGCAAAAGTTGCCATTCTGTTTGGTGGCAGGCATCCGAAGTTATGATTGCAGGGGGTGCGATCGTGGTAGCCAGGCATAAGCATTGGCGGATCACATAACGTGCGATCCTGATAGTCAGTGGGCTAAAGTCATGAGATTATGCTGCTGTTGTAATTATTATGCTTATTTACCAGCACCAACAAAATTCATATGTTAAATTTTCTTTAACTACTGGCAATATGAAGACTGAAAGACGCGTGATTGGGGCATTTAGAGAATATGGCAGACAACAGAGACACAAACATATAATATTTCAGTGGGGGTAGACCATGAAGCAGACCAACAAGAGAGTGGAGAGATAAGTATATGCAGACCTAGGAATACTTGGAGTCACTATATGAAATGTGAAGATAATCAAGGTAATGAATGGAGGTGGGTGATATCTGCAGCAACGAACTCTAAGAGCTTTGAAAACTGAAGAAGAAAAAGAAGAAGAAAAGAAATTTCTAGCACCATTTCAGTGTCCAGTTCACAATCATGTCTCATTAAATGGATACTGAAGAATTTTCTGGAAATGTAAGAATGTGAGAGAGGAAGCTGGTCGATCATACTTTTAGGGATCATTTCTATAGTATGTCTTGCCGAGACGTCGACCAAACCTTATTATGCAGTGACCTAATATGTGTGAAAGCCTAACACTTCATCCCTCTACAGCTGGTTATTACAGTTATGGTTTGTTTGTTGCTTGTTTCCTCAGATACACCACGGAAGTACTACTATGTTCACATTGTTTCGTGGGTGCTCAACTTTTTCGGCATATTCTTCTTGCTGGCCGCCCACGAGCACTACTCCATTGATGTTTTCATGGCCTTCTACCTGTCCTCTCGACTGTTCATGTATTACCACACTCTTGCCAATAACCGAGCTCTGATGGCTCCCGATGCCAGACGCACCCGAGTATGGTTCCCGTTGTTTGCATTCTTTGAGTCCAAGTGTGAAGGACGTGTGCCTAACCAGTTTGAGCATCCTTTGGGAAGCATTGTTCTGAGTTTGAAATCTTTAACTACCTGGACAGTGTCATCCTGCGGCGCTGTGAACCAACACATATCACGAAGGCTGTATACTGAAGCCACATCTGGTGCCTTAGCAGAGGGTCAACAGTAGATATACCATATTTCTCCATGTGTAAGATGATATGTTTTCCCAGATGTTTTAAGTTTAAAATTGGGGGTTGTTTTATGTGCAGAATTAGATTACAATATTTATTTCTTAATTTTGGGTTTAAAAAAAAAGGGGTTGTATTATACATAGGGGCGTCTTATACACTGAAAAATACGATAAGTTTGACCTCCTGTGTCTTATATTATTGCAACTGCATGTGCTTTCATGGACTGGTTTTATGGGTACAGCATATATAAATATAAATATATATATATAAATATATATATATAAATATATATACACACACATGTTGACACTTTTGTAAAAATAGTATTAAGAAGTATTCTGTCTGATGGAAAGTTAGCTTCACTAAGGCCAGGGTTTTTTAACTTGGTTTTAGGATTCAACAAGAAAAAATCCTTGGTGTAAGCAAACATCAAATAAAATTACAATTTTAAGTTTACAAAATAACATTTTAATAATGATCGGTTAACCACGTATCTTGTTCAGGACATCACCATCTTCTTTCTATTCTTTTCTGTACTCCTGAATGCTTCCCGGCGTCAGGGTAGGAAGAAATCTCGAAAACAGGCCTTTCTGTTCACTTCATATATAGTACTTTTCAATGCCTCTAAAATTTCTGGGGTCCATATTCTGTGTGGTCTACCTCTGGATCTGTTACCACTGCATCTGTATAACATTGCTGTCTGTGGCAGCCTGCCTGTTGCCAGACTTATTCCATGGCCAGACCATTTGGTCTTTATGTAGTCTATTAATTTTTCTACGAGTATTAAATAAACCGCTGTCATTTTTCTGGACCAGTCTCAGTGTTTTCAAACTTCCTAGAGTGGTCACACTTGAACTGCACTATCACATTCAGGCTAGTATACCACAGCAATGTCTGAAACCAACTCCAACTAGACGCTGGCCAATTCACTAACTAGCCTCAGCATTTATTTGCTGTTTGAGATTTTACAAACCAATTTCACCTCCAGTTTATCATTGCATGCTAAATGGGCACTGCTTATACCATTGTCATAGTCAGTGTAAAACGGTCTCCAACCAAATCACATAGCTCGATAACTAGTGTGTTAGAATTGTGAAACTACATTCACATTCCCTAGGCCACACACACACACACACTGGTCAGTAAAAACAATTACTTATGAGCATTTGGAAGATTGTAAAAATAAGTGACTGCATTTCTTGAGTTATGAAAATTTGTATTTGTGAGTGCTTTATGTATTCAGCTTGGCATTTAAGTTAAAATCAAAACAATCCAGTGTTTGAATATATTTCATCAAGTCCATTGTGATGTGTTTTTATCAGTTTGTTTTTCGGGGCCTTTATTTGATGACTTCACTAACAGTAGTCATTTAATGTTTGTATATTAAAGGTAAAAGTTAATATTGAGAGGATACACTTCATTGCACCGGGTTTGATCCCTTATGGCTCAGTCTCTCTTTGCAAAATGGCTAGCCGCCTGCTGAAAGTGTTGCACAAAGCACACTCTGTAGCTCCAGTGACATTCCCCCAGGGATTTCTGTAAAAATTGCTCTTGCGAACTGAACAACACAGTCATGAGATGAACCCATGACCTTCAGAGCAGGAGGCAAATGACTTGACCACTTCTCCTCAGAGACCTCCAAATTATGCATGGAGTCTTCTAGAAAACTGGGTAAGAAATGTACACCGTTGAATTATGAATTTCAGATGTGGGTTCCGTGATCCTTTTTTGAGCTTTTTGAGGGGAAATAAAATAGACCCCTTGCCTCCAACATGCATGTCAATAAAGGTGACTAATTAGGGGTGTTGTGAGAGGCAGGGAACCAGCAGTCTGCAAACAAATAAGCCAGATCTGTAAAACAGATGTGCATATTAAACTCAAGTTCAGGATCAAGACCAAAGTCTAGAAGTGATTGAACAACCAGACCTTCCAGCTGGGGTTATGCTGGGGTTACAGCTGGGGTTATGCTGGGGTTACAGCTGGGGAAGAAGAAGAGTTATTAACATGTTATGTTTAGTTTTATTTTTGCATCTGCTTATGTTTATAGCTCATCCTAGAACCTAAAATGTATTAGTTTGTGACTGCTGCTTTTAGAATGGAAATTTTTGGGGGTGATGGTGTGGAAAAATCTACAGGCTCGGAATTAATACTTTCACTAGAACTATCAGTATCATCAACTGCTACACTAGTGCTTGCTGTAGACGGTGTAACTGCTGGTCGAGTCTTAGTTAAACTTGACTTTGAAGCGGCATGCTGTTGTTTCACTGTCGATTATGTTTTTTTGATGACTCTTATTAGTCATCAAACTGTTCAGTAATATGTTCACTTTCCGATGAAAAATAAAATCAAGAAAATCATATGCAGCAACATAAAAATTACAAATATGACAACAGCGATCTCTTTGAGAATGTGATGCCATGATGAAAATTTCATGGGAGCAATGCTTAGATCATGCAGGAAGTCAGTTTTTGTTTCATTTTTTTTTGGGTCCATAGTATTCTAAGAATTTTTTTCTGTAGCATCTCATTTTAAAATCATAATACCTACATTAAAACAGAATCCATTCACAGTGTATAAGAAAATACAAAGACTGGTTAACTGACATTATTTGTAAGAACCTTTTAAATAATAATTAAATTCATTGTGATATAATGTGACATGAACAAATGGCTGCAGAAAATTGATAAACAAAAAATGAGATGAATTCAAGAGAGTTGGGGAAATCAGAGAAATGTCTGGGCAACCTTGGTGTCAACAGTTGTAAGACAGAGAAGATGGCGCTACACTGGAGACATCCTGAGGAGAAACCAGCAGAGAATCACCAGATTGTCACTGAAATGGGAAATAGAGGGATTGAATAAATCCAAGGGATTCCAAAAGGTGAATGTTAATGAGAGAAACTAAAGATGTTGGGCTGGATTCTATCCATGATATCGAAGAGATTGCATTGTGTAGGATAGAACGGAAGTGAGGAATAGATATGATATATAGATGTGATATAATAGCGCAACAGGACAGTGCTGATGATGATGAATGTGATATAAAAGCACAACAGGACAGTGCTGATGATGATGATGATGAATGTGATATAATAGCGCAACAGGACAGTGCTAATGATGATGAATGTGATATAAAAGCACAACAGGACAGTGCTGATGATGATGATGATGAATGTGATATAAAAGCACAACAGGACAGTGCTGATGATGATGAATGTGATATAATAGCGCAACAGGACAGTGCTGATGATGATGATGATGATGAATGTGATATAATAGCACAACAGGACAGTGCTGATGATAGAGAATGTGATATATAAAGTAAAGATCCCTTTTTACACCTTTAGGCGCATCAGGCATATGGGAAGAGCACCCATATTTTTACAGACCAATCAGCATTAGCTGGGTAATGTGGTCAGCATTACGCCGGCCATTTTTTCTTCCCCAGGAGGTACATCCTGGTTCCCATTTGAGGCTGGGTCGACCTGCGACGCCTCCTACCATGATAAAAATCCAAGCAGCCAGCAGTGGGTTTCGATCGCAGTACATTGGAATTACAAGTCTGACTCGCACTGCCTGAGCCACAGACGGATGAATACATTAAAAATTTTGGGAAATGCACTTGGACAGTTCTCTGACTTTCTGTAGGTATGCATATATTAAAACTAAAGTCTGAACATATGGGCAAAATTACATATTTTCAAGAAGTGAATTATTTACTGAGAAAGCATGCCGTAGAGAAGTTTTTTCATTAAAATATGCCAGTTTCAGAATCATTGATTGTCTAATACTTTGCTGCCACCCTTCCCAAGCTGTCCCACTTTAGTGTGCTGTCTTATTTAGATACCCTTTCTGTTATAAGGCATGAAAAGATAAATTATTAACAATATTTTATTCAGTTGGAATATTAATTAACATTTTGAATATGATTTCCATCATTTGTGTTCCAGAGGTTGATGCACTTTGCAAAATTAACGTGAACTTGATGTAATAATTCCACATTTGCTGTAAAATTTAGCACATTCACTCTTTATTTTCAAGATGTCCAGACTTTAGTGAGACCCTGGTACAGATAGTTTACTAAATCAAAAGCCTAGCTGGAGACGTAGAACTTATCTAAAGCATGCTTTCTCAGTGAGTCAGTGAATTTACCCAGGAAGGTTAAGATGGAGCGGCTCTTGAATCTGCACAAGAAAATCCAAGTTGATTTCTTCTGACAAGAATGGATTGTCTCACTAAGCACATCATGAATGGCTCGTCCAACCTTTTGTCTTTGTGCTTGGTATCCGGGTTTACAGATGTTCGATATATAAGAGAGAATTAAACAAATGTATTTTCAAATGTATTTTTTAATGTTTCATTAAAATATGCCTGTTTCAGAATCATTGCTTGTCTAATACTTTGCTGCCACCCTTCCCAAGCTGCCCCAGTTTAGTGTGCTATGTTATTTAGTTACACTTTCTGTTATAAACATTTCCTGTGTCTGATGCAGGTTGTTTTAGCAAAGAATTATGTTTACAAATGATTGTTTGCTTCTTTTATCAAAGAATAGAGGAGCAATCTTTTTTCCCCCTCTCTATTACATCTGGTCATTGCTGTTGACATTTGTACAGTACAATATTATCTTTCAAGCATTTTGCTTTTTGTTTTAACATTTTTCAATGCATGATAATTAACTATGTTAAATGTAGCCATCCAGCAGGGTAGTACTTTTTGTGTGAATATTTTGCATGCATGCATTTCTGGTCATAGTATTGTTGTCTTCACGGCTGTCAGGTGATTGCCAGTCTCATCATTGTATTGTTGTCTTCATGGCTGTCAAGTGATTGCCAGTCTCATCATTGTATTGTTGTCTTTATGGCTGTCAGGTGATTGCCAGTCTCATCATTGTATTGTTGTCTTCATGGCTGTCAGGTGATTGCCAGTGTCATCATTGTATTGTTGTCTTCACAGCTGTCAGGTGATTGCCAGTGTCATCATTGTATTGTTGTCTTCAT